CCAGAGGGAACCCCCAAATCCCAGAGTCTATTGTCCCAGAGGGAACCCCCAAGTCCCAGAACCACTGTCCCAGAGGGAACCCCCAAATCCCAGAGTCACTCTCCCAGAGGGAATCCCCAAACCCCTGAGTCTATTGGCCCAGAGGGAACCCCCAAATCCCAAAGTCACTGTCCCAGAGGGCATCCCCAAATCCCAGAGTCATTGGCCCAGAGGGAACCCCCAAATCCCAGAGCCACTGTCCCAGAGGGAACCCCCAAATCCCAGAGTCATTCTCCCAGAGGGAATCCCCAAACCCCTGAGTCTATTGGCCCAGAGGGAACCCCCAAATCCCAGAGTCACTGTCCCAGAGGGCATCCCCAAATCCCAGAGTCTATTGGCCCAGAGGGAACCCCCAAATCCCACAGTCACTGTCCCAGAGGGAACCCCAAATCCCAGAGTCATTGTCCCAGAGGGAACCCCCAAATCCCAGAGTCTACTGTCCCAGAGGGAACCCCCAAATCCCAGAGTCACTCTCCCAGAGGGAATCCCCAAACCCCAGAGTCTATTGTCCCAGAGGGAACCCCCAAATCCCAGAGTCACTGTCCCAGAGGCAACCCACAAATCCCAGAGTCTCTCTACCAAAGGGAATCCCCAAATCTCAGAGTCACTGCCCCAGAGGGAACCCCCAAATCCCAGAGTCACTGTCCCAGAGGGAACCCCAAATCCCAGACTCATTGTCCCAGAGGGAACCCCCAAATCCCAGAGTCTACTGTCCTAGATGAGTCTCTCATTCTCCAGACTCCAGAAACACTGTCCAAGAGGGAACCCCATCTCCAAATCTTCAGAGTCACTGTCCCACAGGGAGCCCCGAAATGCAAGAGTCCCTCTCCCAGAGGGAACAAACATTCTCCAAATCCTCAGAGTCACTCTCCCAGAAGGGTCTCTCATTCTCCAGATTCCAGAGGCACTGTCTGAGAAGGAACCCCATCTCCAAATCCCAGCGTTACTGTACTAGACAGAACCCCCATTCCAAAATCTCAGGGTCATTGTCCCAAAGGGAACATCCATTCTCCAAATCCCAGAGTTACAATTCCAGAGGGAAGCACCAAATCCCAAAGTCACTGTCCCACAGGGAACCCCTTTTCTCCAAATCCCAGAGACAATGTTCCAGACGGAACCCTATTCTCCAAATCACAGATGTCACTGTCCCAGGGTGAATCCCCAAATCCCAGAGTCACAATTCCAGAGGGAACCCCCAAATCCCAGAGTCACTGTCCCAGGTGGAATCCCCAAATCCCAGAGTTACAGTTCTAGAGGGAACCCCCAAATCCCAGAGTCACTGTCCCAGGGTGGATCCCCAAATCCCAGGCGTTACTGCCCCACAGGGAACCTTCAAATCTCACAGTCACTGTCCCACAGGGGACCCCCGTCTCGAAAATGAAAGACAATCACAGTCAGGGATATAGATGTTCAGAGTCACTGCTCCAATACAGATGGGAACAAAATCCACACACAATACTCCCGGTGTGGTCTCACCAATGCTCCTGTATAATTACACCAATACATTGCTGCTCCTATACTCAAATCCTCTCATTAGGAAGGCCAAAATACACTTTGCATCAATGCAATTCCAACTTATTTACCATAAAGAAAGCACTTCCTCTACGACTCACTGGGGGAAAGTGGCTGATAATCGAGGCTCATGATTTCCAGGCTCACCTCAAATGTTAGTGACCTGATTAAAATATGCAAAGTGACTCAGGTCAACAGAAAACACAAAAACTAGTGTTTATTTGAAATTAATAGGCTTTCACCACAGGTAAGGAACTATCAACATTAAAGCCCAGTCATCAAAACTCTTTCTAAATCCCCTGCATATACATAGAGTCACCAATGAAACATTGGTGAACAGGGAGGAGGGAAAGAAAGATACTGGGGAAGCACAGTTTAATAGAACCAGGCCACAGGTTTGATGAGATGTTTCCTCTGCCCCCCCAACCCCAAAACCTTCTGTTCTTCAATCCCCTTTCTCCTGCTCCTTTCGCTTTGTCACAAGAGGCGCAAAGTGACTGGTACAACAGATAGGAAGTCTCTTTGTTACTCAGTAACCTCTGACAACAAACAGCAGGAGAAATTAACACTTCTTCAGGCCTCAGTTACTTTGACAGTGAGACCACAGAATTCCCAGAGTTTGGGAACAGGCTATTCAGCCCATTGAGTCCACACCAACCCTCCGAAGAGCTTCCCACCCAAACCCATCACTCCCTGTAACCCTGCATTTCCAGTGACTAATGCACCTAACCTGCACATCCCTGGACACTATGGGCAATTTCCCACGGCCAATCCACCATAACCCGCACACCTTTGCACTGTGGGGCAAACTCCACACAGACAGTCGCCCGAGGGTGGGGTCGAACCCCGGTCCCTGGCGCTGTGAGGCAGCGGTGCTAACCACTGAGCCACCATGCCATAAGACAGAATCAGTGTATGTTCTCCCTGCAGGCCGGAGGCTACACCCCCTTAGCCATGAACTGCCAAAACAGGAGCAAAGCAGACAGCTGTCACCAGGGTCAGCATCCACAACTGATCCCACTCGAACAAACCAATCAGTAACCTGTTTCTGGCCAAATGTCTCTCAAGCAGCCCATGATGGCTTGTCTTTCCTTTGCCCTTCTCACTGTTTAAACAAAGCAGCAGTGTAAACACAACTCAAAACAAGCACCAGTCACTTCTTTTAAAAGTGCATCAGCTCCCCGACACCCATCTTCACCTCCACCCTTACACCCCCATCTTCCTACTCCTCTCTCTCTCTCTTATGTGTTTATGCAAATTCCACCCATCAATGTATCTCTGCTATTAAACTTGACCTTTCTCCATGGGAGTGAATCGCCCATTCTCCCCTACTCCCAGCGGGAGTGAGTCCCCCATTCTCCCCTACTCCCAGCGGGAGTGAGTCGCCCATTCTCCCCTACTCCCAGCGGAAGTGAGTCCCCCATTCTCCACCCCACTCCCAGCGAGACTGAGTCCCCCATTCTCCCCCCCACTCCCAGCGAGACTG